TTTCTTTATGGAAATTTGGTTATCAAAACTTGTCTCTCAATCACTCTATATATTGACACCATGATCTTCCTTCGAACCAACTTGACCCACCCTAGAATAAAATCTATGACATATTCCCAAATGGAACTTCTTATCTCAACCATAGCCACGACATGATAATTATCCTACGAATGCATTTATATTGTTAAATTTGAATCTTTCATTTGGATGTGTTGTGTGTTGAAGTATTTTGTTTTATCGATAGATATATCGTAAAGTGAAGGAGTGACGATAACGATAGAGAATCAACTTCAAGACACAAGCAAGTTGCAATTTGATCATACTTTGTCCTATGCTTTTGAAAGATGCATGATCTCTTTAAAATTTACTAGTATGCATGTTTTACTAAAAAGTTTTGTAAAGTATTATTGCTAGCTAAAGCCCTAGGAACTTGTAGATATGCTTAGCCATGCTTACAAAGAAAAGGGTTGGGAATCAAATAAGTTTTAAATGTTTAAACTTGCCCTTTTTGGGGTAACGTTTTGTGAAAACTTAAAAAAAACAAAAAAAACTATATACTATTTTACTTCTACTCCCTGGGCGGAATGGTATTGACGGGAGCGTCTATAAGTGATTGCGCCCATCGGGGTCTTGCAGTGAATGCGCCCGACTGGAGTCTTGCACATAGGTTTTTGGTGGGGATTGTCGTCCAGGGGACTGAGATCTTCCAGGTACAGTTTGATGTAGCTTCCAGTATAGCCACATGCTACTATGGGCTCTGGCTTAGCTTAGTACTAACGGGAAACCCTTACCTCAGGACCGCCATCGGAGAGGGGCTTTCATTGCCTAAGTTGCGGGCGGCTTGGTCAGATATAGGGGGTTGTTACGGAATGGCTTCGTCGCAATCTTCTCCTAGTCGTACACCCAAGTGTGTAACGATAAAACGGGGTTGGTTGTGTCATGTGGGGAACGTGTACGACCTCTGCAGAGAGTTTAACCTAATTGATTAGTCGTGCCCCCGGTTACAGGCAATTTTGAGCAACTGAAGAAGAATCTCCCCTCTCTTTTCTAAAAATCTGTTTTAAGGGTTAAAGTTGAGGAATGAGCACAGTGAGTGTGTTTCACTTCAACCTTATGTATGTTTTAAAACTATTTTGGGGAATGAGCACTGGTGCGTATATCTAAGTGTCTCATCCTACCTTTTATACTAAAAACTATTTCTATTTCAAAAGAAGTTGCAAATTTTAGTATAGAAGAAAATTGGCTTTATGCAAAGGAAACCTCCATCAATACTTATTCTGCATATATATTCTGTTAAACTTTCCTTTGCAACTTGCTAGTGTATTCCACGTACTCACTTGCACCTGTCATGTGCAGATCTCAACATATTAAGAGATGTTAGGGTTATGGTCTACACTCAACGAGCGTGGCGTTGATGGAGCCCTAACTTAGCGACTACGTATTATTCCGCTGTATTATGTGCCATCATTGAGCTGTGCCAATTGTATGTATTTATTTAATTTTGGATGTATCGTTGTCGTAAAATGATGTATGTTTTACTGATATTCATTTTTGTTACTATGTGTACTAGCTATGATCCAGGGATAGCACAGTAAGCACAGAGACTTGGATTTTACTAAATCTAGGTCGTTACAGTAACACAGATAGGTGAAGTAGCAAAAACAGGGTCAGGTTTCATTCTAGCATTAAGAGACTGTTGCTTCCATTATTTTTTAAAGATCATATCTATCTTTACAAGCAAAAATAGCTCTAGCAGCTTCCTCTTCCATAACATAACCCTCAGGAACAACAGGTAATTCATAATCAGGGGGAGAACTTTCATCATCACTATCATCAATAATAGCATCTTCAATAATTTCATTCTCTCTAACCCTAGCAAGTTGTTCATCAAGAAATTCACCTAATGGCAAAGTGGTATCACACACAGAAGTAGTTTCATCGTAAGTATTATGTATAGCAGAAGTGGCATCATCAATAACATGCGACATATCAGAATTCATAGCAGTAGCAGGTTTAGGTGTCGCAAGCTTACTAATAACATAAGAAGAATCTAGTGCAGAGCTAGATGGCAGTTCCTTACCTCCCTCGTAGTTGAGGGCAAAATCTTGGTTCTTTCATCTTTCAAGTTTCTCATAGTGATCAACAGATATAAATCCCAAGTGACTCAAAGAATAGAGCTATGCTCCCCGGTAACGGCGCTAGAAATTAGTCTTGATAACCCATAAGTGTAGGGGGTCGCAACAACTTTTGAGGGTAAAGTATTCAACCCAAATTTATTGATTCGATACAAGGGGAGCCAAAGAATATTATTGAGTATTAACAATTGAGTTGTCAATTCAACCACACCTGGATAACTTAGTATCTGCAGCAAAGTAATTAGTAGCAAAGTAGTATGATAATAAAGGTAAAAATGGCAAAAGTAAAAATAATAGTTTTGTAGTAATTGTAACAGTAGCAACGGAAAAATAAATAAGCGAAGCACAATATGTGAAAAGCTCGTAGGCATTGGATCAGTGATGGATAATTATGTCGAATGCGATTCCTCATGTAATAGCTATAAAATAGGGTGACATAGAACTAGCTCCAATTCATCAATGTAATGTAGGCATGTATTCCGAATATAGTCATACGTGCTTATGGAAAAGAACTTGCATGACATCTTTTGTCCTACCCTCCCGTGGCAGCGGGGTCCTAGCAAAAACTAAGGGATATTAAGGCCTCCTTTTAATAGAGAACCAGACCAAAGCATTAACATATAGTGAATACATGAACTCCTCAAACTACGGTCATCACCGAGAAGTATCCTGATTATTGTCATTTCGGGGGTGTCGGATCATAACACATGATAGGTGACTATAGACCTGCAAGATAAGACCAAGAACACACATATATTCATGAAATTGGTGATGGAGGATGGTTGATGATGACGACGGCGACGAATCCCCCCTTTCTGGAGCCCCGAACGGACTCCAGACCAGCCCTCCCGAGAGAGATTAGGGCTTGGTGGCGGATCCGTATCGTAAAACGCGATAAAACTTTCTCACTGTTTTTTTCTCCGCGAAACAGAATATATGGAATTGGAGTTGAGGTCGGTGGAGCCTCAGGGGTCCCACGAGACAGGGGGGCGCGCCCGGGGGGGTGCGCCCCCATCCTCGTGGACAGGGTGTGGGCCCCTGGTCTTGATTCTTTCGCCAATATCTTTTATATTTCCAAAACTTGCCTCCATGGATTTTTCAGGTCATTCCGAGAACTTTTGTTTTCTACACATAAAACAACATCATGACAGTTTGCTGAAAACATCGTCAGTCCGGGTTAGTTTTATTCAAATCATGCAAGTTAGAGTCCAAAATAAGGGTAAAAGTGTTTGGAAAAGTAGATACGTTGGAGACGTATCACAAGTGCAGAGCAGCTACACAAGAAAAATACAAGGTCCTATGGAATTGGTGGTTCAAGATCAGGGAAGGTGAAGGCATAGACTGAAGAAAAATGTATTTGGGAGGGGGGGAGTGGGGCTAACCCTTCATCAGATGAGATGAATACGTTCATGAAACCGTCGTCGTCGTCGTCGGAGGAGGAGATCAGAGCTTGGAGGCGGAGGGGAGATCAGGGGAAGCGGAAACAGTTACGCCCGCGGTCCGTCGCCATTGCTGGAGGGGCGGAGCTTGGATCCTCAGCACTAGAGGGAGGGGGTCGGGGGCGTCACTTCTGTCGCCGACGGGGGAACTCGGAGGTCGGGGACGCTGGATCTTGGTCGACGACGCAGTCATTCGCTCGTCTCGCTCGAGCCGTGGGTTTCCTCCCCTAGCTCTGGGGTCGTGGTTTTCCTTCCCGTGGAAAGGACGTGGGTCAGGCAGGGTTACACCGAGAACGATGCAGTCCAAATGACGTAGTGGATCTTCCTGGGCCAACCCGGCCCGTGGCTCTTCGACCCCGGGAAATAGCGAGGATCCCCCGGGTCCCTTGAATCCAAACGAGGCCTAATAGGTATAGGGTTTCTAGTTTTTTATCGGCTCTATTATCATGCCTTACATTATGAAACGGTGGGAGTACTTCAATATTTGTATGAGTGAATAAATAAATCTAAGCGCATCAAATACACTGCAGAGTAAATAAAATTCTCTGTGGAATTGGAAAAAAGAAACAGTGCGTACTCATCATCAAAAAGGTGGAAGGAGATTCACTGGGTGGGAGAGTGCGCCCACAGATTCCACGGCACGCAAAAGCCTCGCCGCCGAAACCCCTCCGCCCCGCGCCGCCAAAGCCGCCTCCACAAGCCCCCCCTCCCACCCCCACCCCCACCCAGGCGCGGCGGCGCCTCCACCTCCACCTCCACCTCGACCGCGCGAGAGAGCGGAGGAATCGCCCCTCGTCGCCGGCGCCCTCCTCAGCCCTCGGCTGGCCTGGG